AATACAAATTGTTCTTAATAGAAAAACAATAGAATTGCAAATGAAAGCAGTTTTGCTGTTTTAGATATTCTAATATTCTAATATTTGACATGAAGAGATGATTATAACACATCCAAAACTTCTTGATAATTTGCTAATTCAAAGTTGGAAACTTAGATTCAAAATAATATTTTGAAAACACCAAATTTATAACTTAACACTAACGAGGTATGAATCTATATTTCGAGGAATAATTTATTATTTTAAGAACCTGTAAATAAATTGTTTGAAAAATTTTTTAAAATTACAAGAATAGCGGCAACCTCGGGAGTAATAATTTATTAACTTTTTGTTATGAACCAAAAGGGATTAGCGTTTATTAATATAGAGTCTTCAATATTCTTTATATAAGAGAGAACGGTTACCTTCTACTCAAATCCAAAGTATTCTTTAGACACTGTCTTTATTTCCTTCCTATATATTTACTTTTAAGAAGCCACTGCCCGATATGGTTATTTTTGATTTTTGTGTGTACAATTATAATTACATAATATTGTAAATAAAAAATAAAAAACCTGTAATAAAAAGCTATAAATTAGAACGTTCTAAAAGTTTGTCTTATGATTCATAACATTTCAATTTTATGATACAAAAATAGATTTTTTTTTTTTTTTTGTTAAGTCATTGTGTTAATTTTATTTTAACCGCGTTTTAAATTTGCAAACATGTATATATATATATATATATATATATATATATATATATATATATATATATATATATTATGTAGATAGTATATAATATAAATATTTTTAGTTAACGCGAATTTAAAAGAAAACGAGCTTTTCTTTACAAATATTTCTTAACTTTTATAATTTGTATCTGAATTTTTTATTTCAGTTGTTCATTCTATGTTACATAACAAGTGGATTTTATTATTTAATTGACTGTTTTGTACATTTTTTTTAAATTTCTGTGTATACGTACGTGTATTTAAGTAGGCATCTACATCTGTACCTATATTATATGCTCGTACAAGTTTTTTTGAAGAGTCCATTTATTTATTTATCTACTATTAACCCTAGAGTATAGGCATATGAGTTGCAAATCTAACAATAAAAAATTTTATGTATTAAAGTAAATGTTAAATTTTTAGTGTATTTTCGAATATTCGTGGCAGTTTGCGCTTTAAGATTCTAGTGTTACCACACATTAATTGTACCAAAATTTAAAAACAGAAATGGCTTAAGATTTAGATGTTCCTATTAAGCAAACATAGCACTTAAAACTGTTTCAGACTAAAATAAAGTTTGTTGAGGAATAAAAATTAATTTATAAAATTTAAATGGTGGGGATTTTATAATATTATTTCCTATATAACAGTATAAACCCATCTATCGTAGTAAATGAGTATTCATTGATTTGTCGTTTTTAAATTAAGCGGGCTTTTTATTACGCTTTATTTGACAATATTCTTACAAAAATTTTATGTATTTTATAGTAGTACAGTATAAAAATTAACAACAAAATTGTAGTTTTAAAAAAATCTTTCCAGTAAAATCGAATTTGATTAAACTGTTGGAAATGGAGAGAAAATAAGCTGTGCATTAATAACAAATGTGCCAATTTCATACGAAATACATCAGCTCTCTTCAGATAATTCTAGCTTAAATGTGCTGACACACTCCTTTATACAGGCTAATGTATTTGGTAGTGTTACATGTTATGATTATGAACGCAGCATTACATCGTCACAAATCTGTTATATAACAATATAATATGCGTGCAAATACATGAACCCTTAAAAGAAGGGCAAATAATATACCTGAATATAACTTTGACTTGAGATTTTAAATTTTAGGATTTAGAGACATAACAGACAGTGAAGTTTAGTATTTAAAATTTAAATGTATTACTAGAATGCTATTACTAAAATAGTGACATTTACGCAAATTGTTTTGACGCCCATTTCAATTGTACCATTTTAGAATATTTGATACCTACATACATACATACATATATTATTTTAAATTTTTTTGTAAATTAATTTTGAAGAAAATTTTAAATTCATAATTACTTACATAATAACCTACACATTTTTTATGTTATATAATACGTACACCTAATAAAAGTTAAGTAATTCTTTTCATTGCCAAAACACATGCCTAATAACCGGTTCAAATTGTAACGATGTGACCATAATATTGTGTATATGTACGTAAAAACAGATCATATACTGTTTTATACCACTTGACACAAAATGAATATACTTTTTTTGATTTTTTGGGGGGACTGTACTTTAATATTTGTGTGTGTTTGTGTATGAATTTTCATTTTTTGCTACAGAAAATTTAAAACATATTATTTTTATGCCAAATGAGAAGAATATGCCAAAATGAGAAGAAGAACAAAATGCATAATTCAAGCGTGTATTGTAATTAACTGAACTGTTTTCCGTTTCGCTGACACAAGAGAAGCAAAAAGGAAAAAGCAGCATTCAAAACATGCAACATGTTTTTTTTTGTAAATTTTTTTTATTTTTTGTGCTTTTCACATTTTTATTCTTTTAGCAATCAAATTTTATTTTTCTTCTTGTCAATCGTATGTTTCGAATTTTAAAATTTAAAATTTTTTTTAGTTGCCTTTTTGGAAGCTATATCTAAATATAAACCAAACCAGTTAATTTGAGCATTTTTTTTTGTTTTTTTTCCAGAATTTTTCATGTTTTTTTTCTTAACCCCTTTTTAAAGTTTGAATTGATTAATACCGAATTTTCGGATTGACATAATTCTAACTAATTCAAAAATTCTTCAAAAATTGTAATTTTTACACGTTTACATGTATCAGATGCAAGATACAACACAGTGTGTTCACACTCTTATGCACACTTTTTAGGACTCAATGAGAGCTTCAATGTAATTTTTATGAATTTACATTTGCTTTAAAAAACAAAACGGTTATGTCTAAAAAACTTAGAATCCAAACCAATACTCTTCATTTTACATTGAGTTTTCTTATTTGATGGTGACTTTATTTTGTGTGCATTTTAAGTATATACATATACAAGTTGTTTCACATTAGGTGACAAATAATTTAGGGATGATTTTTTGTTCAATTTCTAGCAAAAACTTTTATGTAGGAGGAGGGGTGGTGTGCAGATATAGTCGTTCTCGAGCTAGAGCCTGCTGAAAAAAAAGGTACCGGACTTTTCTTGCATATAAATAAATGCTTATAACTTCGGGATCACACAACGGAGTAGAGTTAATATTAGGAACTTGTTTTGCAAGCGATTGATTGTTTTAATTTGATTTGATCCATAGTTTTGGAGATACAGCTCGTCAAAGTCAAAATTTTTGTTTTCTTTTTTGAAATGTTTTTTTACAAAACTCGAAATTTCTCGAAAATTTTTGTTATTTTTCCTTCGATGCGCTACGATGAAATCTAAAAGTTAAGTCGTATAACCTTTTCTTCTCTCATAGTTTTGCCAGTAAAACATGTAAAATGTTTTCAAAAACCATGCGAAAAATGCCATATGTATTTTCATATTCCATCTTATGTGAAAAACCCTGTGTACAATAAATAATATCCAAATATTTGTTATAATAAAACTAAAATTTTATTAACTAATTAAAGGTATGCCCGATTAACTTGTATTTCAATTCAATATCAATAATATTATTTGCATACCTTATGTTATAATGTTATTACAAATTACTGTAATTCCACATATTACATTTACTACCTATTAACATAATATTTTGAAATATTTGGCATTACAGATGCATTTATATTAAATTTATTATCTTTTGCTTCAAGCCTTACCGTTTATATTATTACTTCAAATATTAAATTTGGAAAAAAATGATTAGAAAACAATTGTAATATACATGCAAGTTTATGAACTTCTAATAATTGTTAATCTATTTTCCAATTTTTTGTATTCTGTCCGAATTAGAACTTTATTGGAACAGAACAGCATCAAAATTTAAAATATTTAGGATTCAGTACAGACTTTATATACAAAAGGTACACATATGTACATTTTCTTCCATTCAGTAAGATCTCACATGCATTAATTTAAACGGTTAGAAAATATTGCTGTCCCGGCGGGTGGGGGTGCGATTTTTTGTGGTAAAACATATAACTAACTATGGGTTGCCAGGGAATGGCATGTTAGTAGCATTCGTGCTTTCCTCCTTTCTTCGATGAAAAATGTTGCATCTGCACTTTGTGTTTGTTTCTTTTCAAGGATTTGCAAGGATGTAATATCAATAACCCCGAAAACTCTTATTTCAACATTCCAACTCCTAGAAATCCAACATTCTTCATAAAAATTTCCATATATTTTTTTCTCAGAAATGTTTTAAATTGTGATACCTTTCAAATGACAACACTAATGAAAGTTTTTTCAAAAAGACTTCGTAAAGGCAAAAATTCAAAATTTTGGAAATTTTTTTATTTTTTCCTCCTTTTTCTTTTGTACACAAAAATAACTCTACGTTTCCGCTAAATTTTTCTCTCATTTTTGTTTTTCTCCTTTATTTTTTTTTTTTTGCTTGTACCTATAACTTCATGTTTTCTTTTACTCTTTTCTGTCCACTGTCCATTACTTTATTACAATAACGAAAATTAAAAAATTTTAAATATAAAAAAAAACACAGGGTACTTTACAATGGTCAGTTTATAACTAAAATTCAGTTCGGTGTGTTGTGTTGATTTTAAAAATTTTATTTACCTCACAAATCACAAACAAGAAATGAAATAAGGGAAAAAATACAAAAAAACAGTGAAGCAGTTTTTAAGCACTATCCATTTTAAAAATAATAATAAATAAAAAATTATCCTTTACAATTTTATTATGCATTAATAAAAGTGGTTCACTTTTATTTTTCATACGCACAATTTCAAATTTTAATTATTTTTGTACTATGGGCTGTTCAATATCTTCCTGTAACACAATATTAAAATTATCAGTGTTAATTGAATTAATTAAATATTTTTATTTTTTTTTTCAATTTTAGCTAATCAAGTTGAAAATTCCAATAATAATTTAAAAATGGATTTCTATTTTCTTTGGGGATCAGCACCATGCCGTTCAGTATTGATGACAGCTAAAGCAGTTGGTGTTGAATTAAATTTAAAAGAATTGGATTTAATGAAAGGTGAACACTTAAAACCTGAATTTGTTAAGGTAAATTTTTATATTTTTTTTTGTTTTTTTTTTTAATTATCATGTTTATTTAAGCACACATTTTGTTAGTCATTATAGAAGATTGCTAATTTTTTCAACCAAACTTTTGTGTAAACTGAGATTTTAAAGTTAATAGTTAAAATTGCAAATCTTTTCCGTAATTTCATAAATATGTGGTTCTAATTGCTTTTTAGCATTAATATTCTTGTTTTTCAGTTGAACAATCTCGATTTCTCTAGAGTTATATTGCCAAATATCCCTTAGAAAATTTATTATTTTCACGCATTATAATTAAGCTAATTAATAATGTAATAATTAAGTTGAAAACAATTTATCTAATGATATTTTGGATTGTCTCCTCATATTATAATCAAATTTTAATTGTTTAACAAAATAATTTCATTATTAAGTAGAACGGAAAATAAAATTTCATTTTAGCTAATTTTTTTTTTAGAATTAATTTCTATTTGATAGAACAAAGCAATAAATAAAAAATTTTAATAATTATATGATTTCCAATATGAATAGAGTAGCATGCAACTCTAATATTTGAGTTTCACCAGGCTCGTTTCTTTATTGCATAACTATAGTATTGTAACTTTCAATGACAATAGTTCAAAAGAACTAAAAAATAATATTATTGTCATCAGTGATTACTAAATTCATGGAATTTCAATTTATTATTAAACATATTTAGTTATGTGAACGTTCTAACTTTTAAAATTCAGTATATTGAATGGAAATTCTAAAGCTCTTATAAGATTCTGGTGTAACATTTTCATACAAATATTATGTACATATCTATGTACCTATATGTATACTGCATTTAAGAATAATTCAATGAACATTGAATTATTCTTGGTCATGCGAGAGCGTGTTGAAATGTTGAAATCAATTTTATGTTGTGTACTTTTATTTAAACACTAGCCGATCTATAGTCGCTTAAAAATTGTTACAATAAACGTTTTCAAGGCCAGTTTTTTTAAATAATTCATTTATGTTAAAAGTTTCACCTTATTCTTTTAGTTATTAATTTCCATTACAATTATCATGTACTATTTTCAGTTTAAAGCGGAAGGGGGAGGAATACAATATTTAGCTTATGTAACAAAGAGAAAACGTGTAATAACGAGTTAGAATATAATTACTTAACTATAATTGAAGTATAGCTGGTGTCGCGTTATAATTTGTTACTATAACAATGATATATTGTAATAGATAGAATAATTTTTTATTTAAAAATTTATTTTTAGTAGTAGTAGTTAAATAGTAGGAAAAATAATTACTAAAATTATTATAATGTTGTTTAGTATGCAATAAAAAGTAATTAATTTTTACGGTGTTATTAAATATCACGTTTCTAGTGACTTATTACAAACGTATCATTATATGAATTTAATAATGTTTTACAATTTTTAATTAATTTATCATAAATTACTTTATTATTCATAACTTTGATTAAGACTAACATGAATATCATTTAGCCCCGTATCGTTCTTAAATAAATTCGATTTATGAACCTTAAATTTACGTACTTTTAATAATAAATTAATTAATATTTAATTTTATATTATATTTTTTAGATCAATCCACAACATTGTGTACCAACTTTAGTTGATAATGGTTTTGCATTATGGGAATCACGTGCTATTATGATCTATTTAGCTGAAAAATATGGTAAAACTGATTCATTATATCCAAAATGTCCAAAAAAACGTGCATTAATCAATCAAAGATTATTCTTTGATATGGGAACATTATATCAACGTTTTGCTGATTATTATTATCCACAAGTTTTTGCTAAACAACCAGCAAATGAAGATAATTATAAAAAAATGGAAGATGGTATGAAATTTTTGGATATATTCTTAGAAGGTCAAACATATGCTGCTGGTGATAGCTTAACATTAGCTGATTTGGCATTATTAGCAAGTGTTTCATCATATGAAGTTGCAAATTATGATTTAACAAAACATAAGAATGTCATGAAATGGTATGAACATTGTAAATCTGTTGCACCCGGTTATGATTTAAATCAAAAAGGTGTTGAACATTTCAAGAGATTCTTTAGTAATTAAGAACTGAAAAAGAAAAAAAAAACTAAATTTACATATTTTGTATTGTATACATTTTTTTTTTAATTTATTTAAAAAAGAAAAAAAAAATGTTTTTTTTTTTTTTTTTTAATTTTAAACCTTGTAACTTGGTGCATTTTTTCATAATATTTGAAATAAAATCATAAAAACAAACATAACATTTGAAGTTGTAATTTTATTATTTAAATTGCTCTACTTATTTTTATATAATTCGATGTTAGTAAATATTGCATGTAATATTTTTTTAATTTTAATATAAAAGTTGAATATTAATTCTTTAATATAAGTAATATAAGTACGTAGGAATATTTAAAAATTCATTTAGAAGCAGAGGTAAAATAGCCTGTTTCTCATAAATTGAAATGCAAATAGAATTAGAATAAAATCCTTCAATTCGACGCATGACATTGTTCAAATTGCTTTCTTAGAACTTGAATTTCACTGAAATTCATGATGGAACAAATTTTACTATTGAAATGATAATAATAATAGCTACTATACAATAATAGTGGAAAATTTTGTAATATATATTTGTGTTTTGCCACATTTTTTGGATCTTAAACAAATTTCACTTAAATATTTGGGCTCTTTCAATTGTGGTACCTTTCAATTTTTCAGTTTTATTAATGAAGAAAGTAAATTTTGAAGCTGCAAATGATCAAGAATTGAAAAAAAGATAAATCCTAATATGTTACGTATTATATCCATACATTATACGTTTCCTATTTCATTTCTAAGTTTTATAATAGAATTAGGAATAATATAATTTAGTCTCAATTTAATGCAATTCTTTTCAAAAAGAAAAAAATTTTATTTAATATCAATTAGAGTAAAATAAATTTAATTTACATTTTAAATGAAATTTTTTTCTTCCGAAGTAACAATTCAAACATGTTGTACTTTGAATTCTCATTTGAAATTATTCAATTGATTGATGATTCAATTGCTTCATTCATAATTCTTAATTCTTAAATAAACTGATTTCCCTCTTAAATGACCTCTACAAAATTAGACAGATTACTTCAGATTACTTTCAAGACAGATTTCTCTGATTTTCTATTTGGATATTTCAGTTTTTGATTAGATTAGCTATTCATTTTTTCAATGAGGTTTATGAATTTTTTCTCAAATTATTGACTGAACCAGCTGCAAAAACTGAGTGAATAAATTTTGTGTAAATTTGGAAAAATACCAAGATACATAATACGGAATATCTTCTCACTCAAGAATTACATTACACAAATATAATATGACAGTTTCTCACTTGGCGACTAAAATAATGAGATATGCGATTAGGCTTTAATAATTAAAATTAAAAATTTTCTAATTACATAATATTTTTTTTTATTTTTATTTTATATTTGCGTACAATAACTAAAAATATATTATTATTATAAAACAATAAATTATGTACAAAAAAATTTTTTTATACAAAAATTAAAATCATTATTTACAAAAATATTTTTAACAAACTTTTTTTTATTGAACACAAATTTTGTGTTGAATACTTTTTAAAAATTTACATAAAATTTATTTTCTAAAAAAAAAATTCATTTATCACCTAATAAACTTATAAATTTATTATTGATTTTAAAATTACAAAAGTTTAAAAAAAATAATTTATTACATTTTCAGAGTAATTGTAACAATTTTTTTTTTAATTTATTATTATGATCTATTTAGCTGAAAAATATGGTAAAACTGATTCATTATATCCAAAATGTCCAAAAAAACGTGCATTAATCAATCAAAGATTATTCTTTGATATGGGAACATTATATCAACGTTTTGCTGATTATTATTATCCACAAGTTTTTGCTAAACAACCAGCAAATGAAGATAATTATAAAAAAATGGAAGATGGTATGAAATTTTTGGATATATTCTTAGAAGGTCAAACATATGCTGCTGGTGATAGCTTAACATTAGCTGATTTGGCATTATTAGCAAGTGTTTCATCATATGAAGTTGCAAATTATGATTTAACAAAACATAAGAATGTCATGAAATGGTATGAACATTGTAAATCTGTTGCACCCGGATATGATTTAAATCAAAAAGGTGTTGAACATTTCAAGAGATTCTTTAGTAATTAAGAACTGAAAAAGAAAAGAAAAAAAAACTAAATTTACATATTTTGTATTGTATACATTTTTTTTTTAATTTATTTAAAAAAGAAAAAAAAATGTTTTTTTTTTTTTTTTTTTAATTTTAAACCTTGTAACTTGGTGCATTTTTTCATAATATTTGAAATAAAATCATAAAAACAAACATAACATTTGAAGTTGTAATTTTATTATTTAAATTGCTCTACATAAGTAGATATATAATATTTTATATAATTCGATGTTAGTAAATATTGCATGTAATATTTTTTTAATTTTAATATAAAAGTTGAATATTAATTCTTTAATATAAGTAATATAAGTACGTAGGAATATTTAAAAATTTATTTAGAAGCAGAGGTAAAATAGCTCTGTTTCTCATAAATTGAAATGCAAATAGAATTAGAATAAAATTCTTCAATTAGACGCATGACATTGTTCAAATTGCTTTCTTAGAACTTGAATTTCACTGAATTTCATGATGGAACAAATTTTACTATTGAAATGATAATAATAATAGCTACTATACAATAATAGTGGAAAATTTTGTAATATATATTTGTGTTTTGCCACATTTTTTGGATCTTAAACAAATTTCACTTAAATATTTGGGCTCTTTCAATTCTGGTACCTTTCAATTTTTCAGTTTTATTTATGAAGAAAGTAAATTTTGAAGCTGCAAATGATCAAGAATTGAAAAAAAGATAAATCCTAATATGTTACGTATTATATCCATACATTATACGTTTCCTATTTCATTTCTAAGTTTTATAATAGAATTAGGAATAATATAATTTAGTCTCAATTTAATGCAATTCTTTTCAAAAAGAAAAAAATCTTATTTAATATCAATTAGAGTAAAATAAATTTAATTTACATTTTAAATGAAATTTTTTTCTTCCGAAGTAACAATTCAAACATGTTGTACTTTGAATTCTCATTTGAAATTATTCAATTGATTGATGATTCAATTGCTTCATTCATAATTCTTAATTCTTAAATAAACTGATTTCCCTCTTAAATGACCTCTACAAAATTAGACAGATTACTTCAGATTACTTTCAAGACAGATTTCTCTGATTTTCTATTTGGATATTTCAGTTTTTGATTAGATTAGCTATTCATTTTTTCAATGAGGTTTATGAATTTTTTCTCAAATTATTGACTGAACCAGCTGCAAAAACTGAGTGAATAAATTTTGTGTAAATTTGGAAAAATACCAAGATACATAATACGGAATATCTTCTCACTCAAGAATTACATTACACAAATATAATATGACAGTTTCTCACTTGGCGACTAAAATAATGAGATATGCGATTAGGCTTTAATAATTAAAATTAAAAATTTTCTAATTACATAATATTTTTTTTTATTTTTATTTTATATTTGCGTACAATAACTAAAAATATATTATTATTATAAAACAATAAATTATGTACAAAAAAATTTTTTTATACAAAAATTAAAATCATTATTTACAAAAATATTTTTAACAAACTTTTTTTTATTGAACACAAATTTTGTGTTGAATACTTTTTAAAAATTTACATAAAATTTATTTTCTAAAAAAAAAATTCATTTATCACCTAATAAACTTATAAATTTATTATTGATTTTAAAATTACAAAAGTTTAAAAAAAATAATTTATTACATTTTCAGAGTAATTGTAACAATTTTTTTTTTAATTTATTAAGCATTACGTATACTAATTATTAGAGAATCTACATAATTAAAATCTTAAATGAATGAATATTCGTTTATGAATTTTTTGTTTTTAAAACCGGCAGGATTCACAAGAAATCACAAATCACGAAATCAAAACATGAAATCACAATATTCTAAAAGGTATAATGAGTTAAATGTACAAGTATATTTTACTGACCAATGGGGTCTCTATAACAATATTGCAGCATGAATTCAGGAATTTAATTCTTAAATTAAAATTTCTTTTAAAACTTCAAACGCTACTCTTAAAAAATATTCATTCATTTTCTTAACAGTTTAAAATTTACACATTTTTTTAAAAGTTATTCCTGATTATAAAAACATTAACTATTTCCGACTTCTTTTTTAAAAATTTAGGCACAAATACATACAATGACGCTTTTTTTTTTAAAGCAAAGTACATTTAAAATAATTAATTGGAATTTGAAAAAAAAATTACGATTTGAAATTTCCTAAAAAAAAAAAAACAAAAAAATTAACTTTAAAATAAACTCTAACATCTTGAATTATTACGGTTATTTAAACGTATTGGATCCCTAAATGATTGTTCCAGATTATGTAAACGTTTTTCTAAATCTGTCATAGAATTACGAAAACTATGAACTCTTGAACGTATTCTCGGTGATTCTTGTGTTAAATCATCTTGTACACCAGAAAATGAATGACGTATACCACCTGGACCACGTTTTGATGCTCTACCATTTGGTTGATTACGATAACTTCTTCGGAAACGTGGTAATTGTTGATAACTACCATGATGATGTAAATGATTAGTATTGATTGAATTTGATGGCATCATTGTAAAATTTTGATGTGAACATGTTGTATTTGTTGTTATTTCACCATTTTTTAATGAATCTTCATAGCTATCACTAAAACGAATTCTAAATTGACTCAATATTATCAGTATTGAAAAAAAATTGTATAAATTTCATAAAATTGTAATGAAATTTCTTAGCGTTATATTGTGAAATCGGTGGCATTGTTTCAATTTTTTTTTAAATATTTTAATTGTTATGGGTAGGTAAACTATAGCTTACATTCCATGAGTTTTCTATAAAAAAATAAAATTATACAAACCTACTATCACCCGCACAACAGTTATGCATTTCCATACGATCTGGACATGAACATTTTGTATGAGCTTTAACCATACTTTGTCTACTTCTTATCACTCGTAATAAATGTTCGGATGGTGTATCACTACGTTCTCGGCTAGTTGTAATAAAACCAATACCTGAATCACGACTGCTTGAATGATGAGATTGCATTGAAGCATCTATTTTGGGTGATCTAAAATATGGTGAAGAAAAAATCAACAAAAATTGTTTACCATACCAAAAAAAAAAACTTTGTTTTTACGATGTCATTGAATAAAATTATGTAGGTACGTAAAATAAATTATGCACTCTACTACCTTATTTAGACACTTTTTATTCAATGACAACATAAGGTTTGTATATTTGCTAAGTTATTGGATGCTAGTGGAACGGAATCAATATGGAAAATTTTTATTATGTATGATTAAGTATGAGAGTTTTGTGTATAACAAAATCGTGAATTAATTTTTTTTATTATTATTGTGAATTTTTTTTTGGTGGTATTTAAAAACTACTGTACAAATGTGAATGAATGAATACATTCATAACTAGGGTTTTTAATTTATAAAATTAATGTTTTTCTTACAAATTTGTATTATGATTGTGAATTTGAGTATATCGTGAAGGTGAAGATTCATGTTCAACGATAGTATTGCCAACAATAATGGCTTTAGCTAATGCTCCATCAAAATAACTTTGTTGTCTTTGACTGTAAATCAAATTTTAAATTTAAAATTTGAATTATATTAATAATATGAGTATTAATTAAAAAATTACATTTTGTACGTCTTTTAAATACAATTATATTTTGTTATATAAGTATATTATATATAATTTTATGTTTGTTGTTTATGATAATAATAATGTGTGTTTGGAAACTTACTCATAACTAGTTAAAATTCCTTTTGCTGTTGTTTTGTATCCTCCAAATAATTGTGAACGATTTGATTGCCGTATGATTTCATCTCTGATAGCTCTTTTCGAATTTGTGCTTCCACCAGCTGTTGTTGACACTGTTGTCTTGCTATTAGCAGATGTTCCCAAAGTGCTGGAGGGAAGCCTCCCTACAGCATACGCTATTCCCGTACCTGGTGGTCGTTTTCTGAAACAATGAATTTAATGAATTTTTTAAAATTATAAATCTAATAAAATATAAAAAAAAAAATTTAATATAATTGAAATGAGTCTTATTTGCTAGTATTTTTTCTATATCTATTTAAACCTTATAGGAAAAATGTGTTAATGAATGCGATAATAAGTTGTTATTGTACATTTTGGCATTAAAAACACGTTTGATGTTTGTATAGAACGTCAAAAAAATTAGGAACGTCAAATGATATTACTTTTTTTTAGCTTCAATACTGCACACTAGAAATTGAAAATTCGTGTACAACGTGCTTGCTGTTCAGAAATTTCGGTAGGATGAATTTCAATAAATAAACAAATTTCTTTTTATTTTTTACAATCGAGTGTCGCACACCGCGTTCATTCCATAGCACTAAGTTTAATTGAATTCTTAAATGAAAAATATTTCCTTTTTTGAAATTTTCGCAGAATAACGAAAAAACGAATTAGTGATCTTGAAGCGATTAATGAAGATTAGCGAATAAACTGTCCGATCTAGAGAATGAATGAGCTTAACATAAGAGTAAATCACAGCGAATATTTTTATTGCGATTTTTTGTAATTCACACCATTACGAATCGTATGCTATTTTATTAATTAATTTAATCTTATTAACTAATTATTATACTAATTTAATTAAACTAATTTTAAAAATTAAGAAAAACTGCTTTCCAATATTAAAATATTTTTCTAAAATTTTTGTTTTCACACAAATATTCTTTTTAAATTAAAAAGTAAATTTTCAATAAAACAAAGTTTTGATTGCAACTCAAGTGTTGTCGTTTTATCTACATAGTATGTATGTATATACGTATATTTTAAAGTATGTAATGCAGGTAATGTTAGAGAATTAGTTCAACTGAATATCATTAAAATATCATATAGATACACGATATTGTTTGTTATTTAAAACTCGAACTGATCGCGCGCGACTTTATCCCAATAAAAATTTTACAAAAGTGAAAACCAGTTATGTTTTTATTCCCATTTCCCGTTTTATTTATTCTTAGTTTTTTTTTTTGCTCTACAGTTTACCTACTTTATTACTATGACTTGGAAATTTAAAAATATAAATTGAAGCGACTCAATTTATACAATGAACGATACCATTAAGAACTCATGACTTATTTTTGCGTTTTTTTTTTGTTGTGTGTGTTCTATATTCGCACAGCCATGCACTCTAGGAATGTTTTTTTTTTTTTTTGCTTAATTAAAATTCTTTTTTATTATTTTACTTCTTTTTGTAATCTTTCAATAAATTTTACCTGTTTTATGTTATTACTTATGGTATGTAACAATGTATGTAATGCGGTTTCAAATAAAAATTACACGCCGTCATTTACTATGTAAAGAAAGCCTAAGTTTTTTTGTTTTTCTCTCTCTCTCTTTTTCATTTTGATTTTCTTATTTATTTTATTTTTTGTTTTTCGCGTGACATGCAATTGACTTATGAAATTACAGAGCTTTTAACTTTATGAAAATGTTCTAACGAAAATAATGTTATACTCGTACAAGTCATACAAACATACTATACATGTATGTATACATACAATATAATATACACTCACTTATGTGATATACACTGAGTAATAAATTCGCGATGATTTATGTAATATATGTAAGTATGTTTGTATTATATTTAATAATAATATTAAATATATATGTACGTGTGTTTATTCAAAATTTACAGTTATTTTAAAATGTGGTGCATTCATATGAATTTCTATTAAACAGGTTATAATAAATAAATAAAATAATAATACCTATAAGAATATTCTAAGGAAAAATAAAAATAATAGATGGGATTAGAATCTGTAAATTGAAGCTAGAGACGGAGGAAATTATATGGTTATATACATAGATTCAGAGTATAATAATATGGATTCTTTAGCACTCTATTAACGTATGTATATATGGGTATAAAGAGTGATTGTATAGCATGTCAAGCATGTATACATGTATGTATATAATGATAATACTTTTTTCTTTTTCGAATAAATTGAAGTCTGAGTGAGATGCGATTTCATTGAAGCGAATAATTAATTTGAGGTAATGGTTTATATATATATATATATACATATATTTTTCATTTTGTTACAGTAATTATTGTTAATTGTTAATTAATTATATAAATTTCTCATTTGCTCGTTCTGTTCAAAATAATTTAACAATTAATATAATAAATAATTATCGGTCTTTTACAATTACTTAAAATAAAATTATTTTAAAAATTAGTTTATAAAGGGCTATTCAACATTTCCCATAAGTAAATTTGGTAATTTTTTGGAAAAATCATGGAAAAATTAAATTGTAATCACTTTATGACCTCATGGTTATTTAGGGTTTTTTTTCAAAGCTCTGAAATTAAATTATTTGTAAGGAATCTCATTTATTTTAATAAGGGTTGATAATTTTATGTTATATTTATAACTAATTTTAATTTGAATTAAAACTTATGTAGGTACATATATTTACAAATAATTTCTGTCGAAATTATTGTGAATATATCGAATCGAATTTCGAAAAATTCATAGATAAGGAGACGGGATGATCTTGGCTATGTGAGTTGTTTTAAACTCAAGAAAGTGCACCACAATTAATTTTTGTTTTTTTGTCATATCAAAAAATTTATTTATTTTATATTACCATTTTAAAATTATTTTTTTTTAAATGCAATTTGATTTTTAAAATTATAAGCAGTCTTTCTTAATAAACTTACTGGCTATTAAAATTAATTATTTTTCTATACAAAATAATAAAAAAAAAATTTAAAATAAAATTTTTTAAAATTCTTTTTTGTTAAAATTGAAAAAAAAAATCCCATTTTCATTTCTTTTATTCTATAAACTAGATTTTCTTGACTAGAATTGGAGTCCAAGTTAATATACAAAGGGCTACATTATCATTCGTATCTGTTATACAAATACAATCTTTTATAAACCTTTCTTTTATATTTACAAATAAATCTTATACATAATATGTGTGTATTATAAAATACCAAATGATTTTTTTTATTAAATTTTTATAGATTATTTATTTTTAGTGTTATATAACGGGGGACCCAATTATTATCAGTGAGCATATATGATTATTTAAGGTGAAAGTTAAAAAATATAAAAAATAAAATAAAGAGTATTTAAATAGTTAATTTTATTTTTTAATAGTACAATGTGATTGTAGTAACAGTTTTGATATATCAACAATGAAATTTTATAACAGTGTTGAAAATTCTTCAATACTGTTATCGTTTCAATTTCAAATTCAATAGGTTTTTATTAAAGTTTTGTAACTATAATAATTTTCTTTTACTTTGGAAAATTGTTATTTCTTATTGTTTTTGAGTAAAAAATAATTTGATTTTTTAAAAATTATAAAATGACTCAAAAAAAAATGTAGAAAAGTTTCATGTTATTAAAATATTTTGGAATATTGTGATTAATAATAAGTTCAACCAAAATGTTAAACCTCAATAATTTGATAAGATTGGTTAATATTATTAAAATATTGCTTCCTTCGGAATTAAATTCAGAGTAAACAATGTTTAGTCAACCGGTTTAAAATTTTTTAAAAATTTGACATTTTCTTTTCTATTGTGACCAAGAAAATTTCAAGACGTTGTTTACATTAATTTTATTCAGAATTTGAAAAGAATTTTAAAATGAATTGAGTATTGAATATAATAAATTATTTTATATTTTGGTGCATTTAATTTTAGTATTAGAAATTCTTTTGTTTTCTGGTTATTTACAATTTCATTTGGTATTCTAAATGGACTCCAATTCCGGTTCAATTGCATATCAAAATTCCTAACTTACATTAGTGTTGTTATTATAAACATTTTACAAATTATTGTCTATTTTGAATTAAAAATTTTACTTATTATATTTTTTTTAGTATTATTTAAAAAAATTTCATTTTCATTATGTTTAATTAGAAAAAAAAAATGTTAATTTAAAATTGGAATTATTAAAAAAAATTATAATTTTACCGCTTATACCGGACACATAAAATGCATAGGGATGTTGTCATACCACCAGCGAATACAATAATTGCTAATATTATCGATATTATTTCAGTTCCACTCATTGTAGCCGTTCCAACTGATTTTGAATTTATTCTTGGTGGCAATGTACCAAAATCAGCAATTTCTAATATTTGAGATGATGATGACACTGACATATTTTGCATATCTATTGATGATATTGCTCTATGAATGAAAATAAAAGAACATGTAGCGAATACATAAATGAAATTATTTAAAAAAAATCGGGTTTAATAACTTACTTTTGTAATTTTTCCATATCAACAATAGTATTAGTTTTAGGATCAACTGCATATATATAAACATCGGTTCTATAAATTTAGAAAAATTCGTTATTACTAGCATTCCGACATTGTAAAGTAATAAAGAAAAATTCAAAAAGAATAAAAACTTACGCAGGTACTTCACCACCAAAATGCGGTTCCAATAATCTCACTCGAACATCCATTCCAGTTGCAACACTTAAATTTTTCATTAAATTTCCAATATGCCTTTCAACCGTTAACGGTTTACCCGATACAACTAATCTGACTTGACGATTTTCATCTAATACATATACAAAAACATTTGCAATACTACTTCGGCCATCATCATCACCACGGCGATCCGTAGCTTTAACATCAAATCCATAAACTCTTCTTTCACCGCTAATTGGTCCAAGTACACGTATTTTACCAGTTTCTTCATTTATACCAAACATTTTCGTCGGTTCATTTAATAATTTGTATCTTATTTCTGCGTTTAATCCAATATCATTATCAATAGCTTCAACTGTAGTTACTGGAAAACCAAAATTAGCAGTATTTGGAATTATAGTAACAATGGGGCGGCCATTTCCTCTAAATTTAGGTGTATTATCATTTTCATCTCCAACACGAATTACAACACGTACTTCATTCTCTTGAAGTCCTTGAATACGATCTCCACTTACAGGATACATCATTTGGGTATATGTCCGTGCTTCACGGCCAACACGGTCAGCGCGAATCTAAGTAAAGGATATGTAACAGGTAAAATTGACTAAACGTAATATAAAATTTTTTAAAAGGTAAAAGATCAATCGATATAGAAACTTACCTTCAGTCTATACGCTTCAATTTCTTCTCTATCTAATGATTTTGTTACTCTAATGACACCAGTATGTTCATCAATTTCAAAGGAATTTTGTTGCTCGCCATATTCTGGTACTATACTCCATTTGAAAGGTTCTTTTACGTATGCCGCTGACACATTAATTTTGATCAAATCTAGTGGATAATCATTATTTTCTAACACTTCAACTTCATAATACTTGTGATGAAACAGATTTGAATCTTCTTCTTCAATTAAATCGTCGCCTTGTAAATTGACTGTCAAAAACGCTGTTGAAGATTTTGATGGACTACCCAAATCAGTTGCAACTACAGTCAAGTTAACGTGATCGTAACCGTTATACTTGTTGAATTTTGAAATTGTTGTAATTATGCCATCACGCGAATCAATTTCAAATAAATGAGGCATTTTATGATGTAATAATGAAAACATAACCAAACCATTTCCGTTTCCAGCATAATCTTTATCGATAGCAGTTATTTGCTTAACAAATGTCCCTGGTACTGTATTTCTATGTAAATATGCTTTATATACTGGAGTATTGGATAATAAACTGTATTTATGGTAAGTGTCGTCTGACACCATTTTACGAGCATCTTCAAGTTCGTTGATCTGGTCGGACGACTGGGCGTTCATAATTTCGTCATATCCAACAAATTCTGGTGAGTTGTCATTTACATCCAGTACATTGATCTCAACCTCAACAGAACTACTTAATCTTTTTCCGTTGATAGCATTATCACTAGCTATTATTAAAAATTCGTACTGTGATTTTACTTCCCTATCTAAATCGCCATCAACTTTTAATACTCCAGATTTATGTGATATATGGAATGGAATTGGATCAGGGCTTTCAATAGAATATGTAACATTTGCATTCTGTCCAAAATCATCATCAGTTGCTTCAATTCGATCAATTGATTGATCATAATATTCTCCTTCTTGCAAATCAAAAGAATACCAAGATTTCTTAAAAACGGGGGCGTGATTATTCACATCAACAACTCTAAATCGAATACTTGTGTGATCTGATAGACCTCCAATATCTTTGGCTGTTAAATTTAGTAATATTTCTACATTGGCTTCTAAAGGTTGATTAACTTTAATTTCCCCAGATATTCTATCAATATTAAAGAAACGAACACTTCTTAATAATGGAATTGTATCTTTAGTTTTCAAAATTGGATAAATAGTTTCAGTGGTGATTTCATAAAATATTTGAGAATTTTTATCTGAATCTTCATCAGTTGCAGTTACTTTCAAGACAGTTGTTCCCACTGGTACATCTTCCAATACGGCGAAGAATGGAGAAGTTCTTAATTTCTTCCCTTGTCTAAAGAATTGTTTATGAATTTCTCCTCTTCGAGACCTACCAGTTCTTGTAAAATTCAAAGTTGAATAACGGGGAGATCCAGGCAATGAAAAATCTTGCATTTGTAATACTTTTACTTTTTCCTTTTCTCCTGTCATTTTTTCCACAAAATAAACTTCCATATCGTTTGAATATTCAATTATTTCCACACCAGACTCTTTGAAGACAGCAATTTTTTCAAAAACAGGAGGGTTATCATTTACATCAGCTATTAAAATGTGCAAACGTACCGAAGAAGTTAAGCCACCGCTATCCTTAGCCAATAAATGAAGATTATAAAAATGTTCGCGTTCTCTATCTAATGTTTTAGCTCCAACATATTTTACCCGGTAATGTGGTTCATTTGAAATAGTTCGATTCGGATTTAAAAGAATCATTTGCATGTCTATGAAATTTCTTTCAATTTCTAATTGTTCATGAGATGTAAACTGCGCAGTTAAATTTTTTTTTCCTGTCACGTTGTAGAATTCTATTTTGAACATATCTTTTCCTTCCCCTATGAAGCTGAGATTAAACAATGCATTTTTTCCTGCATCTGCATCAGTGACTACTATTGGTCTGTTAAGAATTATTTCACTTCCAACTGGGCTGTTTTCATAAATTACTCCTGTGGAAGATTAAATTTTGCAGTGACATATAATAAAAATTTATCAAAAATATTTCATATTTTAAAATTTTTTACCTGAATAAACCGGGGCGTCAAAAACAGGTGGATTGTCATTGACGTCATCTACTATTACATTGACTTGATATATTCCTGCTCCACTAATAAATCCTTTTGAATATTCAGCTATAATCGTTAATCTGTAAACTTCTTGTGTTTCTCTATCCAATCCACTTAAAGTCATTAATGTTCCATCATCCATTATTGTTATTCTATTAGTTACGTCTTGTTGATTAGCTATTAAAAACCTTAATCCAATTGGCTTGTCAGCTTTCGCCCTTTTTTCAGTTTGAGCATTGGCAACACTCGTTGGGCTATTTATACTAGCGACGGTTGTTGTAATATCATTAGATGAAGCTGTTGACGTCATTTTCCTTGTTGGCCTATTGGTCGAAATGGGTCTCCATGTAGGACTCCTTTTAGTTGATAATCCATTGAATTGTCTACCAGAATTTTGATCAGCATAATCATCTAAAAGTACTGTGGGTGTTACCACAGCTGTAGTCATTTCTGATGCCTCCCGCGTTCGCCTTCTTCTTCCTGTTCTGAATTTAAATTGAGGCAATGTCAATGTGTTATTACGATGGAATTTCGCGTGTACAGGACGTGACTGTCTTATTGTATGACCTTTTGATGCTTGACCAATTAAATCTTTTAAGTCATTAGATCTTTCTATTTGTTTACCATGCTTGTATAGAAGACGTCCAATTAATGCTCCTGGTACATTTTCTTTTATATGAAATTCAATTGGGTGTAAGCTTGTGCCTCTCATCAAAATTCCTCTGTCATCATTAGGACCCACAACATGGATTGTAACATTCGTAACTAAAACATCCTCACTATCAGAAATAACACCCTCATCAATTTCAAGCACATCGCCAGATTTCGTTACTTGTTTTTCTTGCCTAGACGTACGTCGAGTCAAATGTCCTCGCGGGTGGTTCACCAGTTGCTATTAAAAATAAAGAGATTATTAGAGATAAACTTCAAGATTTATTTATTACGTACATAGTTTGCTACAGCTTCAAAGTAATAAACATTTCGATCAAAATCTTCTAAGTCCCTTATAACGGTTACAATGCCAGACCTCTCTTCAATTGCAAATGGAACACCTTCCGGATATGAATGTAATAAGTCATACATAATATCAGCATCACCATCATAATCTAAAGTTGTTCTAACTTGACCAACAGATGTTCCCACTGGTACATCAGCTCCAACCCAAAATTCGTATGGAGCACCAATAAAATCAATTGTATCCTCATTGATTATGGGATGAACTTCTATAGTAACCACAGCAAGAGAAAATCTTTTCTCTGAGGGATTTGTAGGCTATTCGGATAGTTTTTTTTCGATAAATTAAGGGATTTAAAAATTATAAAATAGGCAATTATTTACCTGATCACTTGCTTCAACAAAAAGTGCAATTCTACCTCTACGCAATGGACCAGCTACAAAAAGTGTTCCAGTCTGTGAATCCAATCTAAATGGAATATAACCACTTCCTTTAGGTCGTTGTAATTCATATAATATTAGTCCATTTCTTCCTTCATCCGGATCCTTTGCTGTAACTTTTCCTATAACTGTATTTACAATAGCTGCAACACTAACTTTAAATTCATATAAATTCCCATTTTCAAATTTTGGTGTGTTATCATTTGAATCCAATAGTGTTATTTCCACTAATACGGTTCCAGAATCTTTTGGTCTTTCTGTGTCATATGGATGATTTCTTTCAACAGCCTGAACTGTCATAGAAATAGAAGATCGTGCTTCTCTATCCAACAGAGTATGATCTCTAACAGTTAGCCATCCCGTTCTTGAATCAATCAGAAATGCACCAGATGGTTTTTCATTTATTAGGGTGTAAAAAAATTCAGAGTTTTCTCCTTGATCACGATCAACCGCATTCACTTGCAAAACACTAAAACCGCTAGGAAGATTTTCGACAATTGAAATATTATATAGTTCCACTTCGAATTCTGGCGCATTATCATTTAAATCAAGAATTTCGATTTCAATTCTTAAAATTAAAAGATATTAGTAACCTGTTTGCCAAAAATTAATCAAATGCTTAATTCAATTTACCTTGCTAATGCTCTTTTCAATGGACTATCTTTTTGACGTGCTTCTATTTGTAAAACAAAAGTGTTTCCTGGTAAACTTTCTTCTTCTAAATCAATTTCTCTTTCTAAATATATGATACCGTTTTGTGGATTTACTTTAAATAATTTTCTCTCATTTCCCGAAATTATATCGTAAATAAGTGATGCATTTAATGAATCTTGATCAAAAGCCATCACTGGCGGAGCAAAATATAATGGCACTCTTATTGCTTTCCCCTAAAGAAACAAGTGTGTTGAAATTTAGCAAAAAAACTTTGGTTTTTTCTTACCGTCATTGGATAGAATTCATTAATTTTTGTTCTGTAAACACCTTCAGTAAATTTTGGTGGTAAATCATCATTATCTTTAACTAAAATTTGTAAGCTTGTATTAGCATATCGTGGTGGTGATCCTCTATCACTTGCTATTATTGGTATATTGAATTCGCGTACGCCATTATCATAATCTAATTGTCGTTTCAAAATTACAAAAGGACGATGTGGGCTTTCTAACATAAAATATGGTGCACCAAGATGACGATCACTTTCAATTAATGTTATTTGAACATCTGAATTAGGTGTATTTGGTTTATCACGATCAACAGCTTGAATACCTTGAAATATTACTGTTCCTGGTGATGTTGATTCATCAACACGTACAGTATATGGCTGATTAAGAAAAACTGGTGCATGATCGTTAACATCTTCTACATAAACCGTAACCGATAGATATGCCGCCTATAAATATTTTAATAAAATTTCAGAAAAGCTTATATTTTAGGTCCAATTAATTTAAAAAGAATTTTTATTAGAAAAAGAAAAACTATATGTTTATTAGCAAAACAAAAAAGTACTTCAATAAATTTTAAAATTTACTTACCTCTTCATGTCTACCATTATGACCGGTACAAAATATACGAAATTTTAATAAATTTTGTGGTATATCACGATCTACAAGATCTTCTAAAGATTTTTCTAATAGAATTTGTACCGTTGTTGAATTTATTTCTAATAATTTAAAAAATTTATGATCCGTTGAACGATCAATACCCCGAATCATTATTGAAGTTCTTGGATATGCCCGTAATGTAACAATTTCTTTACCAGGTGTTAAATCTTCACGTACACGAATAAAACGCACACCTTCCGCTTCTGTCCCCGTTCCATCTTGACTATGAAAAACACAAGCTAAAATAAAAACGAACAAAAAAAAATTAATAATTAATTTTTTCTTTTAAATTACAATTAAATTATTGTTCTGAAAGCGAAAATATCAAAAAATAAAAATTTTCTTTTAAGAAAAGAGAGAAACATTTTCAAGGTTTTTCTTTCTTGAACAACGATGCACATTATCTTATAGTAAGTGCCAGTTGGATGCAATTTTTTTTACAGATTGTAAGCGCATACCGCATAAAAAAGCGTTAATAACTGTTAATAAATAATGTTATATGTAGTAGTAACATGGCTAATGTTTTGTGATATTGATTCAAGATTAAGAAAAATATTTGAACTTTTTTGATTCAATAATGATGGTCAGTCATTATACCGCTTTTGTGTCTACGTGTATGTAGAAATGATACTTGCATGTTAATTATTTTTATAAAAATTAATTGCGGACATATCACGAACTTGATAAAATCTGGTTTAAATTTAAATCAAGTATATATTCAAACAAGTTTTATAAGCAAATCAATATTTCATGACAATAGAAATTTCAATTATTACAATGACTTCCATCTTCAGTTTAGTAATATAACCGTTCAAAACCTATATTTGATCCATAAAATAAAAATTGTAAATATTCTATTGAATCTGACATTTATCTGACATTTATGCTTATTTGATTTATGCATATACACATATAGCTATTAATAGTAACTTAATCATATACCTACTTTATCATTGACAGACTTGCAACTTCCTAATTCAAAATTTTATTGTTATAAAAAGGAAACTTCGCAATAATAGTCATCTGCATGTAACACTTACATACGTAACTGTATGTAGTTTAAAAATCAATGCTTGTTTTAGGCACATTCCAAAAAAATTTTGCAAAATTTTTGGTTTCACATTGTCTGTCCGTTTACGTATTTAATTTCTAGACCATAAAAAATAAAATTCATCTAGTGCTGTATGCGAACAAATTTTGTCATTATTTCTCCAGACTATAAGTTTTCGGTATACCTCTTCTAATTTCTAAATTTCTAACTTCAAAATATTGAGAAAATGCAAATTTTTATCAAACTACTGTGCGCAAACCAAAATTAATTTATAAATTTTGTTAATTTAGAAATTGCTTCTTCTATCTATTGCTTTAAAAGAGCGCTCTAAAAATAATGCCAGAATTGCAATTTCGCAAGTTTTTTTAAAAAACCAAAAATGTACTAGTAGTAATTGCCTTCTTATTCGAAAATGTACCCTAAACCCTTCATGCTTGGTGACAGTAATAATTTTTCCGAAAATTTTTATTCTAAGATTTCTCCTAAATTTATGCAATATTATATGGTAAAAAGAGAATTCTTTACTTATTTAAACGTAGAGTTGCATGAGCGAAGATAAGCTCCAGTTCTTAATATTGCTAAATGTGCTATTTTAGAAACCTTTTGTTTAATTGGGTCCTACTTTTTTGTTTTATTTAATTACTAATTTTGTTAGCAAATTTAAAGCTTTGAGAACTAAATAATAATGTTTACTGATTTCCTCGTATTATTAAAATAAACCACAAATTTAAACCTCATTCAAAACTCTTAGATATAAATTTTCCTATAAAATATTATTATTATTTAAGATAAGAAGAAAAATAAGAAATAAAACAAAAAATTTGTGATCTGGTTTTTCTTGTATTCAACCGAGATAAAAATTATTCAAGGAAGAAAAATTCAATATGGATGTGCTGCTAGAAAAATAACTAATATTATGATTACCAACTCTTTTTTCTTGTGGGTTGTGAAAATTTTTATATTTGATATAAAATTAATACTGTTTCCATACACACACATACGAGCTTTAAACTTTCTTTGATAATGTGGGGCGTTATTATTATGAATGATAGACAAATATTATTTATTTCTTTTGTTCTCTTTCAACATTTTTCAACAGGTAAACAGGTGAGATAATCTTAATTGTAAAGTGTCATGTGAACAATAAACTTTCTTTATTATTATTTATGTATAATATTGTTAACAATATACATATTATGTTTATTATATCGATATTATAAATTCTGTATTATTCATGTGCAGATTGGTACACATAATTAGTTTACAAAAAATATAATATAAGGAAAATGAATATTTTTGTGTAGATAGTGAAAACCTTAACAAATGAATAGACGTGAGAGTATAAATTTTAAATAACGAATTTGTAGGAATTCGTAATTTTGTTGAGAGACGAGATTTTAACAAAAAATCATACTAATAAATAATTTGAAATGTTTAAAATCGCAGGGCAAGAATTTTTCTATTTTGGCGCATATCAAAATTGAAAGTTTAGAATGTGAATTCAATTTGATTTTGTTAAATTATTCTTACTTAACAATTTCTTAACCATTAACAAATTCTTAATTTTCTAATCATCAATCAGTTTTACAGGTTAAACACTTTTGGGTTTAAGTTATTGCGATTTAATTTGAATAAAAACCAGTCTTGGGTAGATAATTTTTATTTCCCAAAATAAGAATTGTGTATGATTGCAGGAACTTTGCATTTGTGCATATGTTTGTGATATGTAAATGCTTAATTCGGCTTAATTTAATCAATTTGCGAATAAAAATTTGCTTTTATATACTTGTGTATGTGACTGTAACAGAATCCCGGGGATCACAACTATATCAACTTGCCGAAATCCAATTTCGGTCATAATTTTATTTTGGTTAATTGGCCTGTTTCCAAGGTTTCACGGAAGTTAAAATATGACAAATCTTGATTTCTTTTTTCGTGAGTATTTAAAGTGACTTTTGCTGGTGGTAAACTTGAAACAATCCTTGGAATCAAAAAATTGTTCTCCTATGAGCGAATAAATATATACCATATACGTTCCTACAAAAATAACAGTTGCCCTATTACAATATTTTTTTATGGAAAATTTCGGTATTGTAATTTTAGTTGCTCAGGTATGACCAAATAACTTTTGAATTTGTATAGCAACAATCATAAGTAGTCATGATATCTCAGCAGCTTTTACAGAATGCCATGTACTACCTAATTTGTTTTTAAAAAAAATTCATTACTGTTCTTTAAGTAATTTCTAAGATATGACCAAATAGCTTTTGAAGTAGGTAAAGCAGTTGTTTTAAATATAGTTCCGACATTATCACAAATTATTTGTGAAAATTTGGTGAACTTAGCTGTCTTAGTTTTCGAGCTATCGTTGAGATGGACGGACAGACAGAAAGATAGGTTAAATCGGCTCAGAACTCGACACTGATCAAAAACACACACTAACGTCTACATCTCAGACCTTTATTTCTTACAGACGGTAACGAAAATTTATAATACCCTTCGAACATAAGTTCGTATGGGAATAAATATTGGGGGTAGTTTAATTTATGTAACATATAACTTATGAAATTTATTGATATATTGGAAAATTTTTTATCTTGTAGCTTATTGTAAATAATTGTGGATAATGTAATAAATAATCTTTTTAATGGTAAATTGATTGCATTCGATTTTAAATTTAATAAAAATTTTAATAGACCGAAAAAATGTGCGCATATTGTGTATTATGCTTGTACTAATATCACATTTCTCAAATAATATTATAAATACATATATAAATCATAATTAAATGTAATATATAATTTACTTTGAAGAGATTATGTAAAAAGAAAAAATTCACATAAATAAAATATGCTATACATAACAATTTCTCTTATATACTTTCAATTTTGAATGCATGATAAAATTCAATTTTGTAAAATTTATAAAAATTGTGTGTATATGGGTAGACAAAGTGGGTAATTGGGGAAAAATCATAAAATAAATGATTTTATTTTAATTTGATTAAGAAAAAAAAAAAAAAAACAGAAAACAATATTTTATGTTATGGTGTTTCTGGAGAAAAACCGCAATTTAATTTACTTGTTATTTAATAATTTTAAATTACTAAATAGTTAGACTCTCACTCTCTCTCTATATATAGTTAAAAGTATATACTGTTTCGTCAATTGTATAAAACCATTGTAATATTAAATAAATGCAGACATCTTATATCTACATTATTATATACCACATGATGTACATGGGTAAATATATAAAATTACCGTTTTATTTCCTTTACAACTCCATGACTTGTGGAGCAGAAAAATTGAATTGTTATTATTGTAAACAATATACAATATTATTAAATATTGTATAAAATTTTTAAGTTTATATTATGAAATTTTTTATTGATTTACAGTTTGACTTACTAATTGTAATTTTTTGATCAATGAATTTAATTTTTTTTAAATATTGACTGTATTAAATAGAGGAACTGTGGGTAAATTAAATTTTCTCCTTTCATAGATAAACAATTAAAATTTTGCTTTGAAAAGGTGTTAGTTATAAGAGTACAGTATTGAAATATTGTACAATTCATACTATTAACCCGTAACTGGTATCGTATTTTTTAAATTCACGTAATTACTATCAGGGGTAATTTTTGAACCCCAATTGAAAATGTCTTCTTTTTCAAAAACAAAATTTTTTTTCTACTTTTTAGATTTTTTTTTGTGGTTTTTCTTCAAAATTATACTGTACGTGGCGAAAAACTACAGCTGTGTTCTTATGATTCACAGAATACTAACTACACTGATATAGATAAACAGAACTTCAAAGCAGAAGTAAATTTAATATTGGGCGCGGCTGTGAACAAAGGTTGTTCCATTGAATGTATGGGGAAATTATTGAACAAGAAAATAGGAGCATATTATAGAAACCAAGCAGGTTTCTGGAAGGACTAGGAATAACATGACCATCTTTAACTTATGACCATAGCTTTACGCATTTTATAAATATAGAAATTTTAGACCAATTAAAAATCATAGGCCAAACGAAGATAATTGGTACAACAAGGCTTTAGGAACACTTAAATGAGGAAAAACGTACAAAGGAAGTAAGAATTTCGATTCAAATAGTTGCGAAACATATTTATAAAACGGATCACATTATTGCTAGTAGCTTAGTGCTTCAAATGGGTTACACATT